GGGGGGGGGATCTTTACAGTTACACTAGTTTGTGACTTTAAATGTGACAGCTTTCTCAACATTATTTTACATTAAGCATAGTTTAACAGTTACTATAGTAGACAGTTGCAGTATGGTAACTGCAATAATATAAATTTTCAGAATAAATATGAATGCATGCTCTCATGCATTTAAGATGCTCTTAAGATGCTTTTAAGAGCTATGACTATATTTATAAACTGAGGATCTGACCTGTTGAGAAGCCAGAAGAACATTGCAATATTTCATTTTATAAAACTCTGCATGAAACTGTTCTAATTCTTGATCATTTGCTTTGAGCATCCACCCATCAGTAACCTGTTCTTGATAATAAAAAATGAACCAAATGGAATAATGTTTTGATCGGGAATCCCATAGGAAAGGCTTAAATATTGTCTCTTTCGTTAACAGTAATTAAATATAATGGTGATAAAACAATGAACTTTTTTTTTTATGCCCTTACAGTTCTGCATTTTTGCCTAAAATGGCCAAGCAAAATTCTCCATCACTAACTGAAGTTGTAAAACAAGTTGCAGAGCAGCAACATTCACAAGCATCCGAGATAGAAAAAAACAAGACAGTTCTTTTCCAATTGCAGGTAATAAATCTTGTTTGGAATAGTACAATTAATTTAACTTTTTAATTTGATGAAGAAGTGTTCCTGTGAACAGGAGAAGCTGATGGTACTTCACTTTTTCTGGGTGTTTACATTTAAGTATAAGGCAGCTGTTCTGTTCCTCCGTTTGTGCCATCAGGCTTAGCAAAACCTGTGTATGTGTATTGTAAGGCAAAAACCCCAGAAAACACTGAGATAGAAAACTCACAACAACTCAATACAAAGTTAGAAATCTTTGAATTTTTCATAGTGATTTCCTGAGAAATTAATGGGAAAAAAAGGATTTTAAAAGCATGCTTTTTGGCAGATTTTCAGCAGATTCTAATTTTTCCTTAGCATCTTTTTCAAAAATACTTTTTTTCAGTGTGTTTGAAGTGGTTGTCCAAATAGTCATTAAATACTGTTTTTATTTAGTAAAATTTGGTAGAACACTGAATACATTAGTTTTCGTGAAAACTATGTAATAATTTCTGTTCTAATCTCTCACAGAAATTATTGTGATTTAAATTATTATTTAAACTTTGAGATCAAATTTCTATTGAGAGTTACATTTAAGTCTGAGGAAAGACAGCAGCATTCAGGCATTTTTGAGCATGTGATAATGCAAACGGAAACAGTACAGTTCCAATTATCGTATGTGTGAATAACTCTACAACTGAAGTAATTGAGGTTTAAAATTTTGTACAAAGCTAACTCCTCTGAAGGAGCAGTGAAAACTTTTATTGCTTAGGAATGTCAGTTGATTGGTCACACCTTACAAGAACCTTTTTTCTAATTATATACCATCCCCAAAATAGTATGATGATGCTGTAACAGTTTATGTGATCAAACAGTTTAAAATGTTTTTTAAAAAACCCACAAAACTTTAGAGGCCTAGGTAATTAAGTTAGCTTATTTATTTTCTTCCACACTTTTTCTTTTTTCTTTCAATAAAGCCCAAACCCTAGGAACCTCCATACAAACATTAGTGTTAGCAGAACAGCAAAGTTAAATGATTAGGAACATAAGGTCAGAATGCAGAACTGCTTTTTCATCTTCTATTCCCAGGTGTGCTGGTCACAAGAAGACATGGAAAACAGTAATTCCCTCTTCTAAATTGAAGATCTTTGCCATTTTGCTTTCCTGTCCTCAGTAAATGGTGGCTGGCGGTGATACAAATTCTCCTAAAACTGTAGCCCGAGATTTCCAAATTAGAAGTTACGCAGAAACATTTTGTTCTTAACAGTTAATAATGTCTTAATTTGTTCAAGACGTTGAGTTAGAGATTTCATAGCACTTCTAATGCTTCCATTAGGGAAAAGATAATAGGTGACATAAATCACAATGCTAATTCTCTCACTTAATGCACTACTGTTGGCTGTTGCTTTGGGTGGGATTCATCATAGCTAGCTTACATCACCTACAAGTCAGATGTTAAGCCTGTGTTAGTCATCCAAGCTCCCTTGGTAGTTGTCAAAGACTTAAACATTTCTGAGGCAGCAATTCAGCCCTCCCATCTTAGATTTATGTGTAGAAATGGTGCTTAGGGACATGGTTTAGTGGTGTACTTGGCAGACTGAGGTTTATGGTTGGACTTGATTTTAAAGTCTTTTACAATTTAAATGATTCTATGATTTCATATGATGGTTGAAGTACTATGTCCTGGAGTTGTTCATTTCTCAGTGAGAAGATGTAGAGACCTTTTTAGGAGTAGATGCCTATTAGAGGGTTAAAAATAGCTGGGATTAATCCTACTGTCAAATACTACTGTGATGAAGGTGGGATTAAAAGGTTCAGTAGGGCAGTCTAGTTAAACTTCATCACCCCAAATGCCCATCTGTGTGTTTGTGTGGGTTTGTAAGTGGTTTTTTGGCATCATTAGTTACTTTTAGTCCGATCAGTACTTAATGAGATTTCATCTCTAAACAAACATTAGGATTGGGTTTGATCTGTCACATCCTATGTGTCTGGCAAATATGGGGACTTCAATTGCGAGAATACTTTATTTCATATTTTAGATTCAATCTAAGGGGAGAAGTCTAAAACAGCATTCTTGCATTGTGCCTCTAAGGTGATGGTTGTAGGAAATAGAACTCTAATTATCTTCCATTCAAGCCACATTGAACAAGTGAAAAAGAAGACTGTTCAATAAATATAAACTACAGTGTTTAACTAGATAGCTAGTATCCTATAAAAATGCTCTTAAGTGAACACTGAAATCTTTTACAGGCAAAGTTTCAGGAACTAGAAAAAGAAATGAATTCTATTCTGTTAGAAACTAAGATGACGGAAAGGGAAATATATCTGAAAGATGATGCCATAGAAGTGACAAAATATCACTGTGAAAATCTGGAAGCCCAAGTCAGAGCCCTATATTCTGAAAATTTAAAGTTGAGGCATGATGCAGAAACAGTACAAGAAGAGTTTGAGATGACATTTGCAAGAAATAATAAATATCGTGAAAAAATAAAGGCTCATCAACATCTCTTTTGGGAGATGGAAAGTAAAATGCCACTTATGGTTGAGCTTGCTAAAAGGAAAGCTGCTGTTAAAGACTTAAAGACAAAGAAAGAGAATTTAATGCGTGATTTCCAAAATCCAGACGGATCTGTTATAAAACATATGCAGGTACTGTATTTTATCTTTGATTCTTTTCCTTTTGCATGAAATAATTTTGGCATAGTTTAGTTAGGGTGATTATTTTTTCTAATATGTTTACGGTTCATGAGGGTCTGACTACAGAGAATGTAGGTAATTTATAATGCTATATTGAAGAAATTTTGACTTCAGTATGCAGTAAAAAAACCTCATCAGCCATTGTTATTTGTATTTATTGTAAAAGTCAGGTTCATTCTATGTGATCAAGTGAACTCAGCTATGAAAAAAATTAGAGAGCTGTAGATCACACTATATCATTGCCAAACTATTTGTGGGCTTCTTTGCGTTGTTGAGTAAACTTACATGGACACTTTCAGAATTCAGTGGAACATTGCCATGTTCTTACATTTTTCATGTAAGAGCACAGTATTCTTTCAACTTCGCTGTCAGGTGACAAACTGCAGTTGAGCTGCTTGTCAACAGGAAGTAGATTTGATGAGACAGTGACAGCAAGGAGAGAGGAAAAATATATTTATTTTGGTATTCCAGTCTAACACTTGTTTTTATTTGACTGTAACTGCAAAACTTATTAAAAATTACCATGTAGAATTTTTCATCACAAAACTTTACCAAGACATGAACAAACACAAGTATGAAGTTGAAATGAACTCACAGATTTTAACTCCGATGCTACTTGCATTATTGAAAATCTGGTGTTACTCTATTCACGTAAATTGATGAAAATTTGGTTGTACAAGGAAATCTTTAAATACTGATAAATAAACACTGATCAACATTGTATTTCCCTATGAGAAAGAAATATCTGTCTCAAATATTATATTAAGTATTCTTTGATTACATTTTAAACAAAATTAAGACCACTGAAATGTGGTCAGATTCCTGTATTGTTGTAGTTGTTTGTGTATTTCAGATCAATAGTATATCTTCTGAAGTATCTAAAGCCATGTTATAATTTATTTTAATTATTAATTTATTTACATTAATAAACTATTAATGTAATTATTAACAATTATAATGTGATTTTTTTTATTATAGCTCTTGATCTCATATCAGGGAAGACAGTCTGTTAAAATGTAACATTTTTATTAAGTTTAATAGATGTACTGTACAACTTTTGAAGGAGAGGATTTCTGTATCCTGACTTACAGGAAGAAATTACACTTTTAAAAAGGGAAATCACAACATTGAAAGAGTTCATCAATAAAAAAACAGATTTGCTGGAAGAAGAGAAAAAAATGCATGCTAAGCTTAGAAAAGAAATTGAGGTGAGTGATTCAAATCAAATATAATTACAGTTCTCCTGAAAGAATGTAGATAGTGCAAATGAATTTTGAAGTACTTTATACACAGTTGCTGGCCTTACATTATTCAGGTATATAAAGTAACAGTAAATTAGTGATACTGATAGTCTTTCTAAAATTCAGAACCAAATTGCTATCATGAGAAAATTGAAGTTAAGAACATTTTTTCTTAAGCCTTTTAATAAGGAGTTGAGCTGAGAACTTTTGGAATGATACCCAGAAAAGAAAGAGGTCGCTGAACAGCAGTAAAGCAAAAAACAGAGGTTTTTATTTCTGTAATACTTCTGAAATACTTTAAATTTCACTGCTGACTTATTATTCATGACTTCTCTCCTGATTCCTGATAACTCATCAGTGGGAGAATCAATTGCACCAAGAAAATGGACTTCCTATGAATCTCCCTAATTTGAGCTGACATTAAATTAGGGATAACACAGCAGCTTCAAATTAGCTGCCAAGATAAAATTCTGATAAATAGTTAAAACCTTCTCTTTTTAAATAATGGAACTATATTTTACATCTTGCTCCTTACTAAAATACTTTGTATATCTAGATAGTTTTTAGTTTGGAAGTTTCATGTCATTTATCTTGTTAGTTCAAATAAATGCTACAAAATTTAATGAGCAAAGCTCGATAATATAAAGATTAACTGATCTAGGGTTAGCTCTGTTACCCATTGTAAAATGTAGGAGGAAAAAAGAATCATTTTTCATGTGATAGGGAACAGAGAATTTTTAAACTGAAAAGCAAAACACAGCCACTTTAGAATAGGTCTGTGCTATTAGGCATTTGAGAAAATATTTTATTATCAAGGCAACATCCTCCTAAGAAAGATCTTTAAACTCAAAGTGAAATTTGGCAGCCTAAAAATAATGTTCCATTATTGGAATCAAATTAATTAAATAATGAAGGTTAAGATCTTCTTCAATTGTTTGGATTGCATGAATTTTATGTCTCAGAAGGAAACGGGATTAAAAATGGAATCTTTCAGGCTATCATTTTCTATTAAGAGCTCTCTGGAAGACAGTCTGATTTTTAATATAAAAACTGACAGTGGACAAGCAGAGACATTAATACCCAGCAGTCCTCAGCACAACTCGGGAAAGAATACTTGAACCAAGCGTGAGAATAAAGTGAGATACTAGACACATGGATTGTGCTGCAGTGGTAGGATTAATCTCCTGACTGCCAACACCTGAATGTGGTTGTTTGAATACAGGGGGCTACACGTGAATCAGATAGTTACCCATTATGGTCACTGGAGGTGTAGTCAGTCCAGTTGATGTATCCTAGAGATCAATTCAATTGGCCATCTGTAGGGGTTTACAGTAAGGTGAGCTGCATAATCTGTTCTTTCTAGACTTGTAGTATGCATTGCCTAGATTTCTGTTGCTCAAAACAGGAATGCAGACATGCAGGTCATACATGCAGCTCTGAATCTGCAGATAATACTGATCATAGATATTTCATTGTTGTACAACACAGGCCTAGTTCAGATCCTGCAAGCACTCAGTCAGGTGAGTGAATCTGACAGCATCCCTTGAAAAGTTGTGAAGGGTTATGGTGGAGAGCCAGGCAACTTGAAGAAAGACAACCCTTCACCAGTAAAAGAAGGCAGTGTAATTTATAAAACATTTTTGAGGAAGTTACTTAGTTATACATGAAATTTAGGCAGTAAGACTCACAGGAAGTCACTGGCAATGCTGTAGTTATGCAGCTGTACTCCATCATGTGTATGTTAAACACAGTGTAATAATGTTTCAATAAGCAGACATGAGAATAATTATACGCTACCACTCATATGTTTTTCAAACTCGGGTAAGTAAGCCCAAATTTTCATGAAGTGAATACCTGTTATTTTCATTTTTATTATAATTAATGTTTCATGCATTTACACTTGATAATGCAAATCTCCAGAGAGTTGTCTGCCACAGCCATTATTCACATAAGGCAGCAATGAGGACAAAATTGGTACAGTACTGCACTGCCACAGTATTGTCTTTCTAAGAAAAACGTAACTTTTTAAATGCAGTGCAACAGTGAAGATGCCACTACAGCCATCTAGGAGACCTCATTTGTGTTCTAATTTATACCCAAACACACTTGTCAAAGGCTGAAAATTTCTTCCTTTGTCTGCTCTCACTCTGGAGCTTGAAAACCTCCATGTACAAAATGTTGCTGCAGCTTTGAGATGCTGACTCTTTGGGTGGGATTTGCTTTGTTAAATTTTAGACATCTACAGAGCAGGTGATACCCACATTGAAGTCATCACTTAAGCTCTTAATAGGACAGAGCTTTTTTTTCCCTTAATGGGAAAAAGAGGCACATTTCATATTGTCCTAAAGCAGGTATCTAAGTCAGATGAATTGCTTCCTAGATGCCTGTGTCTCTTCAGTAGCTATAAAGTGAACATGGAATGATTTGGTCAAATGACAGAATCTACACTTAGAGTTAGGTGAGCTGAACCCACCTCTGTAAATAGTTTTGCTTGAAATACATTTTGAAGTGAATCTTATTCTATTTTATTAGGTACAGAATAAAAGATATGATGCTATTCTAAAACGTTTGCATTGCCAACTGAAGAAACTCCATTCAAATAAAAGACAATGGTACTGGAACATTCAGCAGTTGGAGAAGAAAGCAGCAGAACTAAGAAAGCGTCTTGGAATTATGGAGGTACAAAGTAGCATATAAACCAAACCTAGCAAAGCTACAGTGTGGGTAATCTTTTCCAGGTGGAGGAGCTTTTTTTCTGGAAATACTGCAAATTAGTAAATAGCCTGATAGCTGGGCCAGGGCTCAGTAATGTCTTTCTTTTTAAAGTTTTTCTCCCTTTCATTCTGTGGCCTAAACTAGGCTGTGCTGAATCTGTAATGCTTTGGAATTACTTTTTTTTTTTTTTTTTTCCCTTTTTACTGTAGCCAGCGGCTGTTCAGGAAGAAAGTTATTAGCATTTACAGGCATTTTCAAAATATGTACCTGTTTTATCTAAAAAGTAATTTGAAGTCAACCAAATAAGATTTTAGAAGTTCCTTTTTATTTGATTAGATCTCTGAAGATTGAGATCTACATTGTTTTTCTTACAGAGAAATATCAGTGGTATCAGTGTGTATTTGCATTCTTGGGATACCACAATTTGAGATCTTTTATCCACATCCCTTATTATTTCAACCTACTAAGGAACTCCAAAAGCTCTGTTGGCCTGGTTTTTGCTGTGTGGGAAATTCATACAGATGATGTTATGGCCTGTTTGCCCTGTATCTGCCAGGACGTTCTAGTGTGGGGTCAAGGAGGACATAGGTTGTCCAGCTATAAAAGGCTTAGAAACAAATATTCTCAGAACGGGGTTTCAAATAATCTGACTTCAACTGCTCTAATATGTGTTAGCAAAGGGGAATGGGTAGGTAAAGAGAGGACTGAATCTGGACAACTTTTAAAATGGAATAACTGACCCTCTAGAAATAGAAATTAATTACAGATGACTGATTACAGAGGAATTTACTGTGTAGAGGATCTTAACTAACTAGTATTAGCCATCCAACATCTAATGTTCAGTAAGATGATTCTTAACATAAATGACAACCCATTAAATATTCTTGTTAAAACAGTAGTGAAAACTAGACACTTTTCTTTGCCTTCTTTTTATTATGTGCTTGGCATTTGAGGAATTTACCATACTTCATTCTTACACTTAAGGTAATAGTTCTGACTGGACATCACCTGTAACATCATCTGTTCTATGGAAGTAACTTTTTATTAGAGGTGTTGTCTCGAATAATTTAGATTTATCTGGTGAATATAAAAGATTTAAGCAAATTGAGTATTAACTGGAAAATGTTAGACTGTCTATACATTGTTAGCTTAGGAAAGAAAAACTTAAAATGCAGTACAATTATTACTTGTGTTAGAACATTTGTATGTTAATGTATATTTACATTTCCCTTAATATGTTATTTCACTTAATATAAAGTTATTTTAAACAATGTGCTGCCTCATGAAGGCTCTCTCTCAACGTTGTTAGACTCTCCAAGTTTGTTTGGCTTGGTCTTTTTCCTTTGCAGTATTATCAACCAGGCTTCTTTCCTTAAAAGAACAATGTAGAAATGAAAACCTCAATATCCTATGCTGTAGTAACAGTAATGTGATACAAATAATTTGCTGGGTTAAAACTTTTCTAACCTAATTTATTTTAAAAGAAGACAGACAACTTAAAACTAATCTTAACTACCTTTCTGTTCTGAAGTGACTCACACATCCCTTCAAGAGATCTCAGCTATCCAAGTTGTATTCCTTAATTTTTCTCTGTGTAAAACTTGCTTTTTCAATATACATATTTAAATAGACTGAGTTTATCTCAATTGTATCTCAATCTGGTTAACTACAAAGGATTCCCCTACATCTGGTAATAGCTGAACTCTGTATCAGAAAGAGCCCTAGGCACTTGTAATTCTCTCCAGTTTACATCCTGTTTTTTTTCTGAGAAGCAACGCAGCTGTGCAGGCCAGAAGGGAACTGCTGCATGGTTTAGCTGTAGCCCCATGTGAAATGGTGGGAGTTTTGGAAACTAAAGTACTCCTCAGCTTCTCAGCTTTCCTGCCAACAAAATGTAGCTGTAGTTTAATTAAATAATTTAACTGTGCATCTCTGTGCTATGTATAACTGTTCTGATCTCATATGATTAAAAAAATTACACTAAAACTAATTTTATCTTTAATTCCATATCAAATAAAAATACTAGCATTGGTCTTAATACCAAGACCTGTAGAGTCCCACTATGAATGCCCTCTTCATATGTTGGAGCTTCTTTAACAATTATCTGTGAAAATGTGTTAGCCAGTCCTTAATCCATTTTACTTAGGCTTTGCTGACTCTATGGAGTATGAACTCTTTAATACAAATGATGTTTAGCACAAAGTCCACCATGTTGCAAAAAGTCTGTTTCAGCTCTGAAATAATTTGTTATAAGGACTCTGATTGTTATTGTTATCCTGCATCACTGTCCTAGTTAAACACCATGATTATTATCTCTCTTCCCACATAAACACACTATTTGTGTGTTTAACTCAACTGCCTTGATACCTGAGCTGATTCATCTCTAATCTTTGAAGCTTTGATTGTCCTCAGTCCCCACCAAGGTTGTGGAAGTTCAGTCACTCAGTACACCTGAAATCTTCATTCAGTTTTTTCATGTGCTAAACACCAGTTTTACAGGATCAAATACATTTTTCATGCTTCTGATTAAACAGAATTTTGTACCATACAGTATTTAGATATTTTCCCATGAACAGCATTTTAAATTTAGCATTTAATATCTAACAGATAATAAATATAAAGAAAGGCATAAACATTTTACTAGTGAATTGCAGTTAATTGGGAGAAAACTTCATCTGGGAAAAAACTCAGCTGAAAGAAGGAAATATAAAAAACTGTCAGTATTCTGTACAACATATGAATAAAGAAACGTCTGAGCTTTTAATAAGATGTCTAATTCCAGAAAATCCTGGCAACCTGCTGAGGCAGATTTTCCTTGGTACAGTGTTGAACATTAGTAGGTTGATCTCAGGGAATTTTTTTTTTCTCTTAGCAAGCAAGCATAGACAGTAGGAGAATGATTTATGATTTGCAGGGAATAACACAGCGAATGCACTTTTTGTTCTTTACATAAGGCTCTCCCAGCTCCTGCTGGAGAAGCATGCTGCCAAACCCGTATCAGTCATTTCTGACGATGGGTGTGGGGCTAAAGAAGGAACTCTGGCTTCAGCGCTCTGCAGGCAACAGAAAGAGGAGTGACTGCCTGCTCTGAGCAGCAAAACAGACAGCAAGCAGCAACAGACATGTAAAGAAAGAGTGTGCAACAACTTACCAACCAACGAGTCCTACTCACTGCTTAGCAAAAATCTGAAGCACAGGAAACTGGATTTATTCCAACAACATAGTGTCAATGAGTAGGAACATATTAGGGGAACTCCACACTATACAGGGAAACAATACAGCCGTTGGGTCACCCCATGTGATGCAGCAAATGTACTGATGGCTGTTAAAGGGAAGGATTTCCTCATGCTGTGGGCTGAGGCCCCACATGAATCCCTTTCACGTGACCCAACAACCTGAGGTGCTGAAGCAGAGGAGATACATCAGGTAACACAGATGTATCTGCTAAGATCTTTGCTCTCATCAAGGCTACATGCGATACACAACAGAAGAAGGGAAGGTGGCTTGGGAATAGATGCCAACATTATGCTGCTTTGCCTCTGTTGCAGGGTTTAGTGTGGCCCTCAGGAGAGTTACTCGCCAAGAGCCATGTGCATGAGTGTGACAGTACTGTGTGCTATTCTACTATGGTTCATACACAGTGCTTCAGAGGAAAAAGAAATCGTGGCCACGCTGTTCATTAATGGTATGTCATGCTGTTGTGAGTGAAAAAAACCAAACTTTCAGAACTCTTACACAATTTTCGGAAATGCATGAATATATCATTATCAAAGTAATTATTAGATCCTTTGTTAAATTGCAGCTGCAACATGCAGCTCTGAGTCATGCTGAGGCAGTGACTTCTTGAGGAATTCCAAGCAGTACTGAAACATTTTCCTTTTAATTGTCTACTTTGCAGGAGGCAAATGTTTTTTCAGGGGCAGGGTCAAGGCAGTGCAATGAACTGCCTCAGAAATGTGGATCAAACAAAACCAATTCACAGCCTGCTTGCCGAACCACACTCAATTCTTCCACTGATTTTTTTCTAGCATTTAGAGGAAGTAACATGTTGTGACCTAACAAAACAAAGAAAAATAATAAACCACAAACTGAAAAGTTCAAAGCAAGATAAACAAAGAAAATTTCTACCCTCCCTACCCTCAAAAAGAAAGATAATTGCACTGCACATTCCCCACATGGATGAAAGGAGACAGAAGAGATAGCTTTATCATGTCACTAAATATAATTCTGGTTGAAAATGTTTTCTACAATAATGAGCAAAGGACAATGCTCTGTATTGAACAGAGATTTCTCCTGTTAGGAAATTACATGAGTGTTTTTACACTTAGCTTTTTAATTTAACATAGGCTAGTTTCACATAATTCAATTATCTCTAAATATTTCCAAAAGAAGCAAACTTCTTAATCTCTCATTTTGTTATAAATAGCATATGATATACTCAATATTTATTGACTAAATGTCGTCTAAATGCTTCGATATTCTTCTATCATTTACACATTATATTAATTAATGTAATATATCACTTGCAGTGGAATCACCATCCCTGGAGGTGTTCAAAAGACGTGTAGATGTGGCACCTGGGGACATGGTTTAGTGGTGGACTTAGCAGTTGTAGGTTTACGATTGGACTCGATGATATTAAAGGTCCTTTCCATCCTAAATGATTCTATGAAGACTTTTCTGGAGTGGAACTAGCACCAACAGTTTGAAATGCAGTTGCTTTTTTCCCCACTGACAATAAAGTCTAATAGTTCCCTCTAGTGGTGAAATATCTTTTTACATGGTAAAGGCACCTTTCATGCTTGTTGGGGTTTGAAGATCGATACTTATCGTGAGAATAGTTAATATTTCTACAGAACATGATGACTAGTCCTAAATTCTATTTAATTTCTCGAAAGGAAGGACGAAGAGGAGATGCTGAGTATTCTACCCTTACAACTGCAAACAGCAACTGAAAGATTTATTTATTCTTAATTACTGAGCTGTTTTTAAAAGAGGAAAAATTTGGCAAATTTCCTCAGACCTTCTGTTCTATTCTGAGATATAATGCAAATTCCACTACAAATATAACTTCTCATTTTTTTTCTTAAAAATCATTTAAAAAATTATTTTGTGAACTAATAGCAGACTTTTACAAAATTTCCTCAGGTCACTTTCTTCTTAGTAAGAACTATTCTGTTTAAGGTCATTGGCTTCCTGCTTTTTGCTGAAAAATATATTTCAAAAAGATTAGGTCAGACTTATCGCTGACTAAAACTTATGATAGCTGGTAGTTATGGATTTACAACATATTATATAAACCTGTGTTTTCAGGCTTCTTAAATAACTCAGCCTGGGCTGAATCTTCTGGCCTGAAGCAGCAGCTCTGTCTCAAGGTCAGTCTTCTGGAAAGCTTAAACATAAGGTATGAATGTCACTGCTTGAGGCTCCCAATATACTTGACAGGAGAAAGGCATCCCGCAGCCGGTTCAGTTCTTGCATGCCTTATGGCAGTCTGGCTCTTTCCAGTCACAACAAAGGAATCCTAGAGCAACTACCCATAATTTAAAAGACTCAATTAAATGCCTATTTTGTGTGAGATAAGCCCAGAAATAGCACAGCCAGTCTGTTGTCTACCCCTATCTAAAGGTTTATTTTATGGCTATGTGCTCTGGAGCAAAGCATTGAACTTTGGCAGGGGCTTTTGAGGGGACAGAGAGGATAGTTTCAGGCTAAAACCCATGTAATTACCTACTTTTATCACCTTTCTCTTTTTTGGTATTGGCATAGAATTTTAATCGATTGAATCCTGACTTTACAACATTCGTATAAATTTACATCAGTAGTCCAGCAGCCTTCTCAACGAACTTGAATAAAAGTTATCTGGGCCTTGTGGTTAAAATTTTACCCTCGGGTTTTGTCACCTCTCTCCCAGTTACTGAAGGATTTGAATGCCCTGCTCCAGTGCAGTACAAATACACTATCTGCCTTTTGTGCATCTTTACTAAAATTATTACCATCTCTCAAATTATGAGTTCATACCATTGCTGAGACTTCTTTAATTACTAATGCATTTGTATTAGGTTAACTGATGCAGTTGGAAAAAGCAAGCAAACATTTTGACAGAGGACAGCTTGAGTATCTCAAGTTTTTTTCCCAGTTACATCTGTTGGTTCTTCCTTTATAGTCATGGAGAGAAATACACACTTCTAGGGAATGTTTCATCTGAACTGCTTTATATAGTTGCATTAGGATGACAG